TTTTTTATCAACGGTCTATCAATTATTTCCGACCAAAAAAAAACAAAATTAGCAGAGTTGTCGGCAAAAAAACTATCTCAATTTAACCCTTTATTTCTCTATATTTTTCAACTTTTCTTAGTCCTTCAAAAAAGTAAAATACTGGACAAAAAAGAATTATTTATCCAGTGCTTTTTGTTCTACTACTTGCGAAGAATAATTTTGTTATTATTTTTATATTTCTTTTCTTTTTCTTTCGTCTTTTGATAACTATTTTTTTCTCTTCATTCTTTAATTTTTTGATGGTGGCCAGATAGCAAAATCGGCGGAACTTCCAACCCTTCAAAATTTTCGGGACGAGTATAAGTGGCAAAATCTAACCGAGAATTAGTGGTTTCTTGCTGATAAGATTCCGGTTGAATAGCACCCGGAATGGCCCGAATGAGTGAATCGGTGAGAGCCAAAGCTGGGATTTCCCCGCCCATAGTAATAAAGTCGCCAATTGAAATCTGCTCGTCGATATAATATCAAATCCGTTCATCAAATCCTTCGTAATGTCCGCAAATGAAAACTAAATTAGAAGACTGGTTAAGCAATCTCGGCACCTCTTTTTGAGTAAAGGTTTTGCCTTGTGGAGAAAGCAAAATCAAATAACTATTAGGGTAATCCTCCTGAATAGTAGCCAAAGCCTTTACTAATGGTTCAATTTTTAAGACCATGCCTGCCCCTCCTCCATAAGGATAGTCGTCCACCTGTCCTTTGGTAGAAAAATCCCGTAAGTTATAAATTTGATAATTCAATAATCCTTTTTGCCAAAATTTTTCGGCAAGGGAAATTTGAAAGTAATGGTGAAAATACTGCGGGAATAAAGTTAAATAGATAAAGTTAGGTTTCATACTTTATATTCTTTTAATTTAGTTTTATAATCCGTATTTAATCTGAAATAGAAAACAAGTAAATAAATAGCATAATAAATTCAAATTGAATGGAAATATATTATAATTCTCGATTTTTTATATAAGTTTATCCGGTTTTACCCAATTTTTTAAAAGACCTTAATTCTTTAATCAAAAAGTTAGAAAAAATTAGTTAATATTACTCTACTCAAATAAAATGTTAATTTCTTATAAATAGATTTTAAGTATTCGAATTATTATTTTTAACTTTTCTCCTATTCCATTCACCTAAGAATAACCTTTTGTTTTTTCTAACAATCATTTTTATTTCTTTTTTCTCTTTATCAGAAACCCGACCTTTAACTTTCTTAATCTTTATCTCATCTTTTGATTTAGTACCGGTTCTTTCTAGCCAAAACTGGATTTTGCCATGTTTGGCTCCACGAACATGAATGTGAGCAGGCTCATTCTCTTTTAGAGGTTCGCCAACTCGAAAGTAAAAATGATAACTCTCAATTTTCCAACCTGGCATAAATTATTCGCAAGGAGCATCAAAGCCGTTAATAAATTTCTCTATTCCTAATACTTCATCTATGCTAGGAAAATAAATCTCATCCCCTTCTCAAATTTCATACTTTTTTAATTTACTTGCTTTAACTCCTTTTACTCCTCATCTAGCAAATCAAGCAATTGGAATACTTGACTCTCGACCATCACTTAATCGAGCAACTAATTTATTTTCCTGAACTTCTAGGTCAGTTATTTTAATCTCTTTTTTGTTTTGGTTTGGTGTAATAACAGCTTCTTTTACTTCTTTAATGTCATTTTTTATCTCTTTTAACTCTTGAAAAAGTTCAGTTTTAGTGACATACTCTCTCTTGTCGCCTACCATTTTAATTTGCTTTTTATTTATTTCTCTGTTCATGTTAATTCTATTTATTGAATCTTTACTTACGCATTTCTCTTTGTAATATCGTGAACTACCCCCACTTAATTCTTAAAAGAACTTGAAGATGGGAACTTCCTAGTCGGTTATTGCTAAACGATTTCCCCGACGGTTGGGAAGTTCTCGGTTCTCTGCCAAGACTATCATCTAGACTCCCCGAAGGTTTGCTCCAAACCTTTCTCTTTTAGAGTGTTCTTTTGAACTTTACCCACTTATTTCAGTGGCTATTGCATCATGTTTACTCCTAACTCCTCCCCACTCAAATATATACCCAAAAGAGTATATGTTATATTTTTAGCAATTCATCAGGATAAAAATTATATATTAATCTGATTTCTTAGGAATAGTTCATTGCCGTTATAGTAATATCAAAGTAAATAGTTATGAAAAGAAAAAATAATATCAGTTTCTTCCCCCCAAAAGAAAAATTAGCCAAAACACGGGAAAAAATGTTAGAATCTAATTATCCCCGAACAAATAGACCTCTACCCAAGAATGCTACCTCGCTGGAAAAGAGCAAGTATTTTTTGTGTAAAAAAGTGTTAGTTTATAAGCAAGAGAATAATTTGTCGGTAGAAAAATTAGCCAAACAAATTAATTTAACTGTTCCCGAAGTAGAAGACATCTTGTTTGCTCGTATAGATAATTTTACCTTAGATAGATTAGTGGTTTATGCTAATAATCTCTTTCCCTTTCACCTAACCATTCATGAAGAAAATTTTACTCCTCCTCGCAAAACTTCCAATGGTAGAAAAAAAAAACTTTTAATTAGTTCTATTTTTAATTTTAAAAGATATCTGAAAGAGTATTTATTTATTTTCCGCTCCTAATTTTCTAGTGTCATTTTGAAGAATTTGAAGCATTATAATCTCTTTTTAAAAAAATTATATCTACTCCGCCGAAAAATTTTTTAGTTGGTTTTTTCTAAAACATTTTTATTAAAATAACTAAAAAACTTCTTTTCGTAGTTCTCTTTTCATCTCTTTTTCTTTAATTTTTTCCTTTACTTGGTATTTTCGTAGACGCTGAGCCAAAGCGATTTCTAATTTCGCCCAACCTTTATCAGTGATAAAAAGTTGAAGCGGAACCAGCACATAATTTTTGGCCTTTATCACCCTCAATAATTTATTAATTTCTTTTCTTTTGAGTAGAATTTTCCTTTTTCTTTGTGGGTCGTGAGTTTTGGTTAAGTCTGTGGGGTTAGAGCACTTATAGACCGCAATAGGCATGTTTATAACATATAATTCCTGTTTTTGCGGTAAAATATAAGCCTCGTTAATGGAAACTTGGTGGTTACATAATGACTTTATTTCATTGCCAGTCAAGACAATTCCAGCCACAAATCGCTCCATTAATTTGTAATCACGGAAAACTTTTTTGGCTTGGGCAATTATCTTACTTTTCATTACTTTCTAACTAACCAAGTTTAGTTAAACATTCAACCAAACAAAGGGAAAAATTTACTAATTGATTATCAATTGAACCACCTTTTTGCCCCTTTCGTTTTCCTCATACTCTATTTCAACTTCTTTTGCATTTTCTCAATTATTCACTAAATCGTTTCATCCTTCTCTAACCGCTTTTTCGAAACAAAAATAAGCCTCATCTTGATTGTCATTATTGACAATGATAAAATACTCATTAAAGTTTTGGTCTTTTAATTTTTTTACTGTAATGTTGTCTAATTTGATTTTTTTATTTTGTTGATAATTATT